TCCCGCAGGCGACCCCGGGTACGGCTACCAGGGGCGCGTGGGCCGGGGCCGCGACATCGACCCCACCATAAACTTCCACGACCCATTCGCCGCCCTGCGCTCCGCGAACCAAGCCACAGACCCAACAGAAAGTGAGCGCCGCCGCGGGCTGGGCTGGCTGGCGCCTCTGCCTGGCCACGGCGCCACCTGCGGCGCCTGTGGAGCTGTGTGTCCCTGTGCCGTGCGCTGCCGCTCGCGCGCCTGCTGCGCCGCGCTTGCTCGCCCCACACGCCGCCGACGCGCCCTGCCCCCGCCTGCCCTGCATTGATTGCCCCCGCCCCCCGCCCCCCGCTGCAGTCGCGCGCCAGATGCAGGAGCAGCAGCTGCGCGCGCGGCAGCTGGTGCTGCAGCAGCAGGCTGCCTCTGCGGTGGCGGCCGCCTCCAAGACGCAGCGCGAGGTGTATGTGGGCAACCTGACCGCGGGGCTGGTCACAGGTGGGAGCCGCCGCTGCGCGTATCTATCTGTGTGTGATGCATGCGTGGCTAGCTGTGTGTGCGTGTGCGAGCGGCGCGAGAGCTGTGCTGCGTTGTATGCCGCCGTAGCCACGCCACCGCGCCTGGTCCCGGCGCCGGCCCCCTCTGCGCTTGCCTCTCTGCACGGCACGCTGCCGACCCCCTCTTCCCCCTCTTCCTCCCGTGCTCCTTGCCTCCGCAGCCGACATGCTGAAGCAACTGTTCAACTCCACAATGGCGGCGGCCTTCCCAGACATGGCCAAGCCAGGTGGGCGCCCTGCGGAGGGGCGCAGGGTCATGCGCTGAGCTTGCGTGCCCTAGCTTCCCTGCCCCCGGCGCCTCCCACCTGCTGCCCCTCCCTTCTGTTTCACATATTCGCACCCCGCCTGCACCCCCATCCACCTGGCCACCCCGCCCGCAGGCTACGACCCCGTGGTGAATGTGTCGGTGCACACGGAGGGGCGGTACGCATTTGTGGAGCTGCGTACCGCCGACATGGCCTCGGCCTCCCTGCAGCTCAACGGCCAGGTGCAGCTGCTGGGCGCCACGCTGTCCATCGGCCGCCCCAGCGGGTATGTGGACCCGGGCAAGGCGGCGGCGGCGGCCACCGTGGCGGCAGAGGCGCTGGCAAAGTTCCAGGTGGGTCCCGCGCCGCCACACCCTCCCCCTCTCCCTCTCCTTTCTTCCTGGGCCGGGGCTGGGCACAGGCCAGTCGCCTCCCGCTGATCACCTGGCACGCCGCGGCGGCGACTGGCCGCCATCACGGCAGCTGCCTGGCCCGGTGCCCGGCCGCTGCCCGCCCCTTGTTTTCTGTGCGCCGTGAGCCGCCCCGCTACCTGCCACCGTGCGTGAGCAGGTGTCACATGGCAATGCGGCGGCAGCAGCCTGAGCCCGGGGAGGCGGTGCCTCTCGCCACACGCAGCAGCAGGCATGCGAGACGCGCGGCCGCAGCGGGGCCGCCCCTCCCCTCCCGCCTCGCCATCCTCATCCCCTGCTTGCGGGTCGGCGAGCCGCTGGCATGCATCCACCCCCCAACCCCTCCTGGCCCCGCCTGACCCGCACCCGTACCGCCTGCTGCCGCCACCTGTACCGCAGGCGGAGTCCCAGGCCCTGCGCCGGCAGAACGGGCAGCTTACAGATGAGCAGATGAAGGTAGGGAGGGCGGCCTGGGGCAAATAGCAGCCTGCTGTGCCCTGGCGCATGCCCTGGCTTCCGCAAGTCCCGCCGTCCCCAGTCCCGCCCAGTCTGCTGAGCGCCCGCCGTGTGAGGCCGCGCCCTGCCGCAGGATGAGGAGACCAATTACATCCAGATCGAGGGCATGATCACGGCGGACGTGCTGGCAGACGACCAGGAGTATGCGGATGTGAGCGGGGCGGCAGCGGGGAGAGGGAGGGGTGTGGGTGGGTGGGTGGCTGTGCTGTGTGATGGCGTGGGCACGCTCGCCAGGGCGGCCGCTGCTCTCAGCCTGCCGCGGCCCGCCTGAACGCTCCACCTCCTGCCCGACCACCCTCCTCTTGCCGAGCGGCCGTCGAGCGCCCAGCCTGCCAGCCGTCCTCTCTCCACCACTCCAATCCCGCCCTCCCTCCCCCTCCCCCTCTCCCACTGCCGCAGGTTCTGGCCGACATACACGAGGAGTGCTCCAAGCACGGCACGGTGCTGCGCGTGGTGGTGCCGCGCCCGCCCGTGCCCGCCGACGCGGCGGCGCTCATGGGCACCGGCAGCTACGGCAGGGCGTATGTTCAGTTCCTGGACCTGGAGGGAAGCAAGCAGGTGCGGGGCGGGGCGGGGCCGGGGTTGTGGGGCATGGTGGTGGTGGTGCGTGGTGTGCGGTGCGCGGTCGCACGGTGCACGGCGGGCAGGCCTGCTCAGGGTGACAGCGTTGCGGATGGCAGGCGCGCTGCTGGCGCCGCTGGGGGGAGGAGGAGGCGTATGAGGTGCCGGCCGGCCCGGGCCGCCTCTCGCCGCCCCGCTGACCTTTCCCGCCGCCGCCCCCTGCGCCCCCGTGCCCCCTGCAGGCGCGCGCGGCCATCCACGGCCGCATGTTTGCGGGCAGCACGGTGCAGGCTGTGTTCATGCAGCCTCAAGAGTTTATGGATGCAATCGCGCCGCCGCCCGCCCCGCTGCCCGACCTGGCTGCGGCGCTGCCGGGCGCGGTGCCTGGCGTGCTGGGCGTGCCCGTGGTGCCCGGCGTGCTGGGTGTGCCCATGATGCCGGCGGTGGTGCCGGCCGAGGACTCGGCAGTGCCGCCAGTTGTTTGAGTGCCTTGCCGTACCGCCGGCCGGTTGCCGTTGTGGCGGCGCCGCTCCGGGATGCGGCGCTGACGGCGGCCCTGCCCTGCGTGCCTTCGTCTGATGCCTGTTTCAGCGATGAACGAACCTGTAATGCACACATCCTGGAGTTTTAAGGGCTCATGTCCCTGCACCCCGCACCCCCTGCCAGCTGGACGCTGCCCGACCAGGGGGGTGCCGGGAGCCTCCGTGCTGTTGTTCCTGCTTGCACTGCACAGGCGCAGCCTCTTGTCAGGCCACTTGCCCTCTCAAGCGGAGAGATCGCGACGGGATGGCTGGCTTTGGCACGGACTTCTCGCAGGTCCTAAACTTGACTCTGAAAGATGTAGAGGAGCAGCTTGGAGCCACCGAGGCTCAGGTAGGGCGCCGCCAGCGGCCATTGTTGCGGCACCCCGCGTGCAGCCTGCCCTCACCTCTCGGCTCAGTGAAGCCCTCCCGTGAGGAGGAGAGCCTCCGAGTGTTTCAGCTGCGGCGGTGCAGCGGGCGCAGTCTGGCGAGGGGTTGGGGCGAGCCGCCGCCCCCCTTCCCCGCCCTGGCCCGCCCCGTCCCCACAAGGCCCCTGCCTCCTCTCTGCTAACATCCCCCCGCATCTGTGTGGCATGCTGTGTGCAGCTGCGGACGATGGACATGGTGAGGGTCTTTTCCAGGAGCGGCGGCAGGGAGGCTGTGCCGGAAGCGCGCCATGCTGCGCGCACGTGGCAGTGTTCTGCTGCCCCGAGCCCTCTTCCCTCGCTGCCTGCCTGCCTGCCTGGCGTGCAGGAGGAGGTTCTGAAGCAGCTGTACAACAGCAACACGCTGGACACTCTGCCTTCCTTCATGCGCGCACCCTCCTGGCAGCAGCAGGGCGCCGCGGGCGGGCAGCCGCCCTCCGACGGCAAGGGCGGCGCCGCCGCCGCTCCGGCAGCGGTGGTGGTGGCCCCCAACGCCGCGGCGTGGGAGGCCGCGGCCGCGGCCGGCGCCGCCGCAGCCCAGGAGCAGCAGCAGGAGCAGCAGCGGCAGGAGGCGGCGGCGGCAGCGGCGGCGGCCGCGGCCGCGGCCGCGCAGCAGCAGCAGCAGCAGCAGCAGCAGGGCGGCGCGCTGCCGCTCAGCAGCGTGCGCATGGACCAGATCTTCAGCTGGTATGCCGAGAACCAGGCGCATGCTCAGCGGCCGCAGGTGGGCCCTGAGCCTTAGAGCCCTGCTGTGTGTTGTGAGCGGTAGCGCCCGCCTCGCCTGTTAACTGCTGGTACTGTTGCTGCGGCGGGGGGTGCTGCCCCCCCCACTGGAGCCAGCGGCAGCGAGGCGGGCCCTCCGCCCTCGGCCTGGTGGCCCCGGCGGTCAGCTGGCAGGATGCGCCGTGCGGGTGTGCCGACTTGCGGCGCCGCCGTGTGCCTCCCTCCCGGCTACAGGCGCCGCTGCCCTCCATGACCCTGTCCCAGCTCTTTGATTCGGCGGGGCTGCACCTGGCGCCTCCGGGCACGCTGCCGCAGTCGGCGGCGGCGCAGGGGCCCGTGGTGGTGCTGCCGCAGGCGCCCGCCGCGCTGCACGCGCAGCTGGGGCTGGGCGGCGGCGGCGGGCCGGCCTCGGGCGCGCCGGGCATGGGCTCCCTGCACATGCACGCCGTGGGGAGCATGCTGCCCCCGGGCCTCTCCCCCGCGGGTCCCTTTGCATCCAGCTCGCTGCCCATGGTGGACCCCAGCCTGATGCCGCCCTCCATGCAGCCTCCGCACAGCATGCAGCCGCACAGCATGCAGCCGCACAGCATGCAGCCGCAGGGACTGCCCCCGCGGGGCGACGCGGCCGCGGCGGCGCGCGCCGCGCGCGCCCGCAAGCGCAAGGCCGGCGCCGACGGCGGCCCCGCCGCCAAGCCTGGCGCGCTGTCGGCGGCCGAGGCGGCGCGGCAGGCGCTGGAAGTGGCTGAGAGGGCGGCTGCTGAGCTGGCGGAGCTGCCACAGGATCTGGGGGACAAGGAGGGGCGCGCCATCAAGCGCGCGGTGAGACGAGGGCGGGCGCCTGCCGCGCCGGCGGCGCTGACGCGTGGCCGACCCGTCCCCAATGCGCGCCCGCCAGCCCCTGGCGCTGCGACACACGTGTGCTGCCATCTGCCGCGCGCAGCGCCGCCCAGGCCCGCAGCTCAGCGCCGCCGCCATGCCCTGCTCCCGCCCCGCCCCCGCAGATCAAGAACCGCGAGAGCGCTGCGCGGTCGCGTGCCAAGCGGCAGGAATACACCGCCACGCTGGAGCAGCAGGTGGGCGGCCTGGGTGTGGGTGCGGGTGCGGGGTGCGTGCGGGCGGGCTGGCCCGCCCACGCCACGCCGCCGGCGGGGCCCCGGGGATGCGCCTCCCCGGCGGCCAGCCGGCTTGCTGGTATGCGTGCGCTCGGCGCGCCCGCCGCTTGTGCCAGCCGTGCTCGCCGGCCCCTCTCTTGCTGCTGACCTGCTGGCCGGCCCCGCTGGCCGCCTTGCCTGTCCCCGCAGGTGGAGCAGCTCAAGACCCAGAACAACAACCTGCGCCACCAGGTCATCGCCACGGCGGCGGCGCCGCCCGACCCGCGCGCCGCCAAGCTGGAGGGGGAGCTGCTGCGCCGCTCCCGCACGGGGCCCATCTGAGGCCCGCCGGCCAGGCCCCGCGCGTGGTGCTGCCCCGGCGCCGGCTGGGCGAGGCTGTGCCGCTGGGGCGTGGCCCTGCTCGGCGCCTGCCAGCCTCCCATCAGAGATGTGCTGTCTTTGCCGTCCGGACCGCCGCTCCAGAGTTTGTTGAGGCCCGGCGGCCTCCGCCCGCCTCCCCCTCGCCCTCCCACTCCCCCTCTCCCGTTGTGCGCCCTCCTGCTCACCCAGCTTTGGATCCGCGGCATCCGGGTCGCCTGCCGTGTGGTGGCCAGGCGTGCCTGCAGCTGGGGCCCAGCCCGTCTGCGCCCCAGCCCAGCCCCTACAGCCTTGGTTGTCACATCCTTTACTTCTCCATGCCCACTGCACCAACACCTTGCCCATTGTACACCGCGCCGAGCCGTTGTGCAGCCTTCCTTGTCTCGAGATCGTAAGGCCGCCAAGCCGTCCCTGTGCCTCCTCCTCCCTGTGCGCCGGCGTGTGATAATCATGCAGCGCCCCGATGTCGGAGCGTGCCATGCCCCTTCCATAAAGGTTCCAAGGGGCCCATAGGTTGCAGCATGCGTGGCAGCGTGCATTGGGGCGAACAGGCACAGCAGGCCTGTGCTGGCGGCGGTTGCTGGTACAGCCCGTCGCCACTCCATCTCACAGCCGCCTTGCAATCGCCAAGGCGCTTCTGATTGCCGCACGCAGTCTTCTGAAGACCTTGCACGCAGTCAAAAGATCAGGGGTGAACGGTCGCATATGCATGCCAGTGACGTCACCCAACACGGCACACGCTTCGTATGCTCAAGTATCGTCACATCGTCCTCCTAATGTCTGTTTCCGACTCCGCGCTCCTCCTCACCCTATAGCAAACCACCCTCCCACACAGAAGACCGCCCTCGCTCGGGGAATTGCGCTCTTACGCCGCCAATGCTTACCTCGCTGAGCCCCTCGCGGCTCGCCGCGCCTTCGTTGCACAGATCCCAGCCCGCCTCGACGCTTAGGGTCCCAATTGGCGGGCGTCCGGCGCTGCTTCGCCCCGCCAGGGCCACGAGGCTTCCCACGAGGCTTACCCTTCCTGTCTTGGCTGCCGCCTCCTCTCCCCTGCCATTCGTCGACGGCAAGGTGTGCACGCGTTCCTGGATTGGGGCCGGCGCGGCGGCGGGCTGGGCGGCACGTGCACCCTGCCCGCCGCGTGCGCTGGCGGCACCCAACGACCCCCTGCCTGCCCCCCGACCCACCCTGCGCAGCCCGGCCATGCCGCGCTGGAGGCCCACTGCCCGGTGCGCGTGCGTGGCGCCGACGCGTCGTGCACCTCTGCCAAGACGCGCGTCGTGGTGCTGGGCAGCGGCTGGGGCGCCATCTCCTTCATCAAGAACCTGGACCCTGCCGCCTTTGGAGGTGGGCGAGCTGGGGCTCTTAGCGCTGGGCACAACTGTTCCTGCTGCATCAAAAAAAAGAAAAAAACGATGGCCCGCTCCCCGCCCGCGCCGCCGCAGAGGACGGCCCGTACGAGCTGGTGCTGGTGTCCCCAAGAAATTACATGGTGTACACGCCCCTGCTGCCAAGTGAGCCGCGGTGGCAGCGGCGGCGGGGCATCACGCGCGCTCTCTCCAGCGCGCACCACGGCCAGCCTGCGTCGGCCCCCGGCTGCCTGCACCTTCGCCTGGCCCCGACCTGGCGCTGCACCCCTTGTATGTGTGTGTGTGCTTTGCAGGCGCCATGGGCGGCGTGGTGTCTGAGACCAGCATCGTCGAGTCGGTGCGCAACCTGATGAGCGGCAAGGTGGGCAGGAAAGCAGGCGGGCAGGGCTGGCCGCAAGGGGCCGCCAGGCCTGCCACGGACGCCGCCGCCACCTCAGCCAGCTGCCACCCGCCGCCTCTGCTTGCTGCCGGCTGCCTACTGTTTGTTTTGCCACCTGCAGGGCACCTACTACGAGGCCCGCACCACCGACATCGACCCCGCCAGCCGCACCCTGACCTGCGTCAAGGAGTTTTGCGAGGTGGGCGGCTGCGGCGGCGGTCTGGGATAGCGGGCTGCTGGATGGGCGCGTGACGCTGGGCGGCGGGCGCAGCCCCGCTCCTTGCTGCGGGGGCAGCGCTGCAGCCCTGCTGGGGCTGGGTCTCAGGGTCTGAAGCCAGCAAGGCTGAAGCCTACCCGCCCGGCCACTCCCCTGCAGGTGTGCGCGGCACGCAAGGGCCCCAGCGAGCACACCGAGGCCGACCACACTTTCACGCTGTGCGCGCGCTGTGCTGCCCGCTCCTGTACCGCCCCGCTGCCCTGCACCGCCAAACCCTGCCACGCCTGGCTGCTGCTGCACCAGTCCCTGCACCACATTGCCCACAGCCACATGCTCACTTCTCCACCTAACCCAGCACCTCTCTCCTTCCCTGCCTCCCTCCCTTCCTCCATCTGTACCGCCGCCGCAGGCAGTACGACATCCTGCTCTGCTCGGTGGGCGCGGTCAACGCCACCTTTGGCATCCAGGGCGTGCAGCAGCACTGCTGGTTCCTCAAGTCCATGGAGGATGCCAAGAAGCTGCGCAGACACGCCAGGTGGGCCGGGGGCAGGGTGGGCAGGCGCCGTGGGCCACGCCGCAGGAGGCACACTGGCGGCGAGGCCAACTGGGGGAGGCCGCCGCAAGCACAGTACAGCGCAGCGCAGCGCAGCATGCGTTGCCGTACACTGCCTCGCCGGCCACCCTCCGCGCCCTGGTGTTGCTTCATCTGCCTGCCCGCCCGCCCGCCTGCCTGCCTGCCTGCCCGCCCGCAGCAAGTCGCTGGAGCATGCGGCGCTGCCCCATGTGTCGCCCGAGGAGCGCAGGAGGCTGCTGAGCTTCGTGGTGGTGAGGCCGGCCCGCCAGCCCGCCCGCGGCGGCGAGCCGCCTGCAGCGCGCCGCCAGCCCGTGTTGGTGACAGCAGCCGGCCGAACCCTTGGCTGTGGTGTGATGTGTTATGCCCCGCAGGTAGGCGGCGGCCCCACGGGCGTGGAGGTGGCGGCGGAGCTGCGGGACCTGGTGGAGGAGGATGTGACGCGCCAGATGCCGCACATCAAGGTGGGCGCAGGCAGCCCTGGGGCAGCAGCAGCCCTGCCGCAAGCAGCAGCAGCCCTGTAGTGCAGCCGCCCCGCTGCGCAGCAGCAGGCCCCGGGCCTAGCAGCGCCGCATGCCGGCAGGCTCCCAACGTGTTCCGGCCTGCAACGCAAACAAGCGTCGCACCATGCGTTGTGGCCGCGCCTGCTGGGCCCGGCCTGCTGCCCTCCTGCTTGCCTGCGACCACGCTGTGCTGG